TTTGGAGTGTTGTCTAGTTATTAAGTCATGACTTCCAAACCATTACTTGGCCCTCTCCTCCAACACTACCTCATCATGAGTTTGTAATCCCCCAGGAAATGGAAAAGTGGGCTTCCCCCAAAGCTCTACACTGCAAGGACTTATCAAGGATAATGAAAAAGTTCCAAAGCAAATAACTTCATCCGGAGGTTATTTTGGGGTTACCATAGTTACCAAAGTACCAGATCTCCTGCTGCCTACCTTTCCCACAGCAGACACTGATGTGAGCAAGGTCTACTGGAAGAATAGTCCACTCAAAGCCACTGGGCCCAAACCCCAAAACTCCAAGGGAGAGAGATGAGGCCTAACAAGCTGAGCAGAGGACAATGTCCAGTCCCAGGCTTTGGCTTCTCAACCACAATGCCCTCGAGGACACAAAACCAGCAGAGGCAGGAAGGAACTCAAGGATCACAGAGCCCATAAGCCAGCCCAAACATTTGAATGACTACGACAGGGGCGTCCTGGTGGCCGAGGGGTTCATTCTCACCACTAAGGCCTAAGTTCTATCCCCAGCCAGGGAGGTGACTGGCACAGCACAGCAACCTCTCCTGTCTTGCTTGCAGCTCCCCTCAACAGTGTATTTCAGCAAGTCCTCCCATTCTGCTCCCCACTCTGTCTCTGGTGAATCCTCTCACCCTTGCACCTCTGACCTACACCCTTGTTTTTCTATGCAAAAAAAAAAAATTGCTACAGTCTTTTAATGCCATGGTAAACAGAATAAAAATAGGTGTGAATGAGTAATGTGCCAACTTTCAGCTATAGCGGGAATGGGGAGTTGGGGGCAGGGTCCTGGAGAGCAGAGACTACAGGAGAGAAATGGGGCATAAGGGAAGCCCTCAGGGGTCCCAAAAGAAGGCAAAGTTCTTCCAAAAAATAAAGCCCTGTACTCAGTGGGCCTCCAGACACCAGAAGAAGAAACCCCAGTCCCTCTATCATTAGCACTTTGAGGACCTCTGAGAGAGCAGGAACATGGCCTTCCCCAGGCTTGAGCCCAGGGCCATCTCTTGGGCTCCTGCTCCATTGCCCACCTCAGAAATGGCACCTGACATTCTGCCGGAGCTTTCTTCTCCCCACTTTCCAGGATCAACTCCTCAACCTACTGTGCAAGATGGCGGCCTCTCTACCTGCTGCGCACTCGGATTAAAACATACAATTCCGGGCCCCACCTGGTGATGCAACTGGTTAAAGCGCAGCACTATGAAGCGCAGCCACTGCGGCATGAGTTTGACCCCGGCCAGGGAGCTGACCCACATGGCGCGGCAGATCTCTCCTGTCCTGCCCACTGCCCACCTCAGTAGTGGATTTCAGTCACCCTGTCTGTTCTGCTCCCCGCTCTGTCTCTGGTGAACCTTTCTACCCCTGCACCTCTGGCCTGTACCCCAGTTCTTGTATGCATAAGCAACTAAATCTTAAAAAGTAAAGAAAACATAAAATGCCTCTTTGGGTTTTTGGGTTCTCAGGGTGTCATCACTAAGACAAGAGAAAAGGACAGCCCTCACTGAAACTAACAAACAGGAGAATCAACACCTTGTCAGGATTCTTTTAAAGTTCTGCTGGTGTTCCCTTGACCTTCACTGGATCCTGAATGGGGCTGCAGCACCAACTTCTTGGGCCCTGGCTCTCTGTCACCACTCACCCCTATGCCCTCCATTCACTCCTATGACTTGGCATTGTGGTAAATATGTGGGTGCAAAAAAGACTCAGGCTATGTCTCCACCCACCCTAAAGTCTAGGCAGGGGACAGACGCATGAAGTGTCTGGACATGGAGCACAGTGGGAAAGGCAAAGGGAGCCCCAAATTAAAGTCCTGTCTGGCAACCTCCTCAGTGTCCCCTTCTCCTCCACCCCATCACCCAGCTGTTTCCTTCTCCGCTCTGTCCTTCACACCCCCTTCACACCCCACACACTCCCTGCACCGCCCCCAGGCCCCCCAAGTTTCAGTGATGCCCACCCACCGCCATCCCCAAGGCTGTTTGCTTAGTCACTGCTTGATAAAGTGTTGTGCAGTTACAAGAAGCGTCTCCAGCTAAGCTAAAAATAATCCCTGCAGAGGTCTCAAATATTAAATCTTGCTTCCAGAACATAAATCGTACAAATATTGGGAGTTTGCTCTTTGCTCTCTGCACACACGAGGAGTCAGGCAACCAATCCAGTTTTCTCACCGACAATTATGTAACTTATTTAGCTGGAAACCAAGCTCCTCACTTCAGGTTTCCTCTGCGCTGTGCTGGATGCTACCCACCCTTCGGCGCTCGCCCAAACCTTATTACTGTTGTTTTCAACACAGGCGTAATCGGCCCATGTGGGTCGCCAGTATTGATTCCGCTTCGCCCTTCTCTTCTCCGCTGCTCCGAGTCCCAAGTGCCCACAGGCACGGCCGTTACTTGAGTCACCTGATCCGATATAGGAAGAGATGTGACGCTGGCTGCTGCCAAGCGGAACTCACGACTGCCAGTTTCTATGCCCTAACGGAGGGCCCAGGGCACCCACGCAAACAGTGTCTGAGTTCTGACAGCAGATGCTCTCACAAGGGCATCACAAGCGAGCAAGCTGGACGCTCAGCTTGGAACAAGGAAATGCCTGCCGAGTCCCTCGCAGAAACACATGAATGAGCTAGCTCTTCTCTGGGCCTGAAGTGGGATCGGCATTGCCCAAGGATAACAAAATTTGGGGGCAGCTGCCCAGGAGAAAGCCATCAGGGGTGCAATGGCAACAGGCCCTGCACCCTCCTATCTATGCATCTGGCTGCCCTGGTCTGAAGCAGATGACATGGGACCTGTCACTCAAAATTGCCATCTGCCACACTGGTCCCCCAGAACCGAACCACCAGGGCCAGGTGGGCCCCTCTCCTCTAGATCCCCTCTACATCTAAAGGAAGGCTTTGGTCAAACTGCCCAGCACCCCAGGAATTAAAGGTGCAGGATCAGTAGAGAGAAAAAAACACAAGGGGCTCCAGACTCCAAATGTCCCCCAAATGAGATGGGCTCAGACTGCCAGGCCGTTGCCTTCCTCTGGGTTTGCCCCTGTGCATCGCTCCTGTCTGGCTCTTCCATGCCCACTCGGCACCTCTGCTCTCTCTAGCACCCCTCAAGGTCTGTGTCCCTGGCAAGGCTTTGTGTGGTTACCACCCGGGGTCCTCGGAGAACGTCCCCCGGCCCACACTCTTGGGAGCATGAGTCCCCCCCAGCCAGGTGCCGCTCAGAGTGTCTGCACACGTCTGGCTCCGTCAGAACTGCAACTGCCTCCCTCGGGCTCTGGGACTCTGGTCTTACCCAGTCCGGCCTCTTGCCTTATTTATGACCTTCCACACCGGGACACATGTTCACTAGCCACAAACTCTCCTTTTCACTGAAACTTGTTCTCCTATTTTCTAGCTGTGACCTCAGTGCTCAGGGCCACCCCACTTCATGCAATGCCCCAGCAGCCAGGACCAGGGCTCACTCTGCTTAGGAAGCCTCCTACCCTCTTGCTCTAGCTCGGCAGCTAAGAAACGCCCACACTTCTCTGCCATTTGCTAAAAAATGATGACTGACAAAGCCAGTGTCCAATGAAAAGCCGAGCCTTTGTGGCTCCAGGGCCGCTTCCTCTCGGTGCTCAAGAAGAAGCTGATTCCTCCCGGGTGGGACCCCTCATCCCCCAAACCCAACAGCGGCCACACCGAGGCCTGTTGGGAAGCAGGGACACTGTTCTATCGCTCAGGAGAGGACGGCAGTCCAGTGTGCAGTGTGCAGGGCCTCGCTGACAAGGCTGAGGGCCCGCAGTTCTGCACCTGGGATCTGTTTCGCACACGTGCATGTTCTAGGTTGAGTTTGACCTTCCCTTGCTCCTGGGCTGCCACTCTGAAATTCCACTTGGACTTGGCCAGCCTCGGGGGAAGAGCTTTGGTCCTCACATAGCTTATGGGAGACAGCCAAAGACCAGGGTGAAATGCTGAAAACTGGGTATCAGGCAGGGAAGGGCGCGTCTCTTCCATTATGTTCCATAGGGACACAACAGCCTCACCAGCCTGTTCCATTTCTCCTGCTGGGTACGAGCTGTTTCTCCGAACAACAGGGAGGAAACTCCCTGCGGAAGACCGCAGGGCAGAAGCAGGGCCAGCTCGGGGAGAAACCACGAACGTGGTGCGGAGGGATCCCGGCTCAGGATACTCAACGCCTCCCCGGGCTGTGCAACCGCCCAGAACCTTCCAGGGCCCCACGTCTCCCAAGGACTGAATGCTTGGGGCAGGGGGGTGGGTGGTCTTTGACCAAAGCAGGTCCACCAGGTGGCAGTGCCACTCCTGCCGGGGCGAAAGAGCCTGCAGTGTGTGCGACTGACCAGTAGATGGCAGCACGGGGACAAAAGGCTACACCTCGCTGATGGTTGCCTAGCAACTGTGACGCAAAAGGTTCCATTTGCCCCTACCTCGGGGCCTCCCAGGTTATTTCTGGCAAAACAGACTGTTGCACAAGGAGTGGCCTCAGGAATCCCACAACTGCCTCTCTTTTAAACCATGAGGATCTAAAATGGCCCAGGGACCCCAAATGTGGCACCACTGGGACCTCTGGGGGAACAGGCTACTATTGTCCTAGCTCCTCCTCGCAATGTCAGCTATCAGAGAAAGCTGACACTCTGTAGCCCCACAGAGCTGGGGCTCTGATCTCTCCGTGACTAAAGCAGAGCAACCTCTCCTCTCTCCCTTTGCCCCGCCCTCCCCCCAACCCCGGCTTCAAGCAGGGCTGGGTATGTGACCTTGAGCCAGATCTTGAGCCTCCAGCTTCTCAGTTGTATTTGAGGGGGCTAAAAGGGGGGTTGGGGTGGTGATGATAAGATCCAGCTGTGACATTCTGTGGTCCTGGTTCTCTCCCTTTCCCTCAAGGACTCTGGCTGTCCTTGCCGGTTTTGATGACCCTGAAAATAGAATTCTTCCAATTCCAGAAGGATAAGCATGACCTGAGAAACCAGAGATGAAACCAAGAAAGTGAGGCAGACACAAGACAAGGAGTGTGGTTATAATGAGCTCAAAGCCTGTGCCGGTCTGGTGTGTGAAAGGTCAACGCCCCAGGTGGAGTCGGGGCTGCTCTGGCCGCGGCATCGTTGGGGTTCCAGGCACATCTCTGGGTTGTGAGGTGCCAGCTGGCCCTGGGGCTGGGCTCATGTGGGGCCCGGTGTTGATCACTAGGGAGTCAGGGTCTGGGGGACACGTGTTCCAGAATCACACAGGCATGTGCAGCTCATTGTACTCATCCTGGCCGTCCTCATCAAAGTTTGGCTCAGCGTCTTCCGAGTCCAACTGCAGATGGAGCAGAAGGTTGGGAGAGGCAGGGGCGTGGACTCACCCCAACCTGTCTCCTCCCTGCACCCAGACTTTGCTAGCCTCACTGTCTGCAAGGATCCCAGGTTCAAGCGCAAAAGCTTCAGGTCACCCAGACTCTTGGCACCTACTCATAATAAAAATGACAGCCAGACTTCAGAGGGAGGCCGTCCGGGAGCCACCCCAAACTCCTGCAGTACCTGTGAACACCCTTTTAGGTAGCTGGCTTGCAAAAACAAAGTCCCTTTCTCTAACTGACAAAAAGAAGGCTCCAGATGGACTCTCACCCCTCCCCAGACCCGCTTGTCCCCGGGTGCGTAACTGTGTTCGGGACACAGCTGCCAGCAACCGCCCTGCGCTCACCTCACGTCAAACCATGGATGGCACCAAGGGCTTTACTGGACTCGTCCTATACATCAACTATTATGAGCCTCCATTTTATGTGCAAAAATACAATTTCCGGAGGTTAGGTGACTTGCCTACGTCCACACAGCTAGCAGGAGGCAGAGCCCAGACGGGAACCCAGACCTGAAGCTGCCCCAAGCACCACCCTTACCGCCTGCAGCTCCCTGTCCTGGAAGAGCCGGGGCAGGAGGCAACGCCTCAGAGGCACCGTGAGCAGCAGCAGAAAAGGAAAGGCAAGCGAGGCCGCCGTGGATTTAACCACCCAGAGCAGTGCAATGCAGCCCAGCTGAATGCAGGTGAACAGGTGCATCCGCCACGTCTTCACCTGGGGAAGGGGCATCAATCTCACTACAGAGCCCAGCCTGCTTCCTTCCGTGCAGCTGAGGATGCTGCTCCCTGCGTCCCAGCTTACCGTGGTTGCCACCCCATCCCTTCACAGCCCGGGCATCCCGCCAACCCCTTCCCGTCTCCCGATCCTCACCTCCTCACTTCCTGTCCCTACCTTGGTCACATAGGGCTGCTCGGGGTGATGTTTTGCTGGCATGAGAATGAGCAACAGGCGCTGGGACAGCTGGATACCCGACAGCGAGGTCACCCCCATGTACAGAAAAATTCCAAAGAGCACGGCCAGGGGGATGCGACGCAGCACAGCCCCCATGACGATGGACAGGCCTGGAGGAGGTGACACAGACCCAGCTGACCCCTCCAACACCCCGAGGACAGACGGACCTGGTGGGGACATGAGCCGTGCACCTGCTCCACTGGGTGGCCTCGGAGTGAACGAGATGATGGGGGCAGGTAGCGGGGAAGGGCCTGGGAAGAAAAGTGTTCAGCGTGGCAAGAAGTAGGTCTGTGCTGAGAGCAGACCCTAGATGCCGCTTAAGAGATTCAGAAAGAGCCTGGTTGAGCCTGGGCAAGCCCGGGGTAGAGTGGCTTAAGGTCCTGGGGTCCAGGAAGGCACATCTGGAGAGAGGGCAAGGGCTGGCAGGGGCCGCTCTCACCCACGAGGCTGGCGATGAGCACTCCGGTCACCCGCTGCTCCCGCACCTCCTGGATCTGGGGCTTGTCGCCGGGAGCGATGGCGGTGCGCATCACGGTCAGGGCATTCACGTGGGTGACGGAGCGGACAGTGGCGGCCGTGAGCCAGGGCAGCCCGAACAGCCCACAGAGCCCCCCCAGGGAGCCGATGAGAAGCAGGTCCAAGTGGAAGCCGGAGCCTTTGAGCAGCCTCCGGGCCTTCTGGCTGACGATGAGCCTGCGGGCAGAGGACGAGGCCCCAGGTGGGGGTGTGGGGGCGGCACGCAGGCCAGGCAGTGAGGAGAACTCCGCAGAGAAGGGCCCTCCCCTGGGCCTGCCAGCTTCCTCTCCCAAGTTCCCAAATTGAAATTCTCACATTTAAGCAAATGGGAGCCAAATCCTCATACTGTGAATACTGAAACCACCACAAAAGCCAGATGTCAGCTCTCACTGTGTTGTGGCTTAACCAAAATGAGACACATGTGAGCCGCAGCGGAGGAGAGCGCATTCTGCCAGTCATCTGGAGACTGTCAAGTGCCACCCTGCCGGCAGTGGTGGCAGCAGACCCGTGCCACGTCAAAGCACCCCAGAAAAAGCGGGCCTCAGTGCCATGCACCCCCCTTGCTGCCAACCCCACTCTCCTCCACGCCTCCCCTGCCCAGCCCTCTCACGCAGTGATCTGTGTCTCCATGAAGATCAGGATGAGGACCAGGAGGGCAGGGACAGCGGCTGCCACCATCATCCAGGGGGGAAACGGGCGGGCACTGCCCAGGGGCGGGATGAACCACGTGCGCTTATCGGGGGAGGTGACCGAGAGCCCCGTGGGCACGGTCAGCTTCTGCACAGCAGGAAGGAAGCCAGGGCCAGAGTCACCCCGCACGAGGAACCCCACCGAGAAGAAGCTGTTCCCACCAAACTGTGTCCCAGCCCAGGGTTCCAGGGAATTTGGGTGTGGACCGGGTTGAGAAATAAGTTTGCGTCGTCCAGCGTCACTGTGCCCCTGAGGGTCCCGCAGAGGGCAAGGAAATGACACACCTTCTCTCTGACCCTAGAGCTGTCTGACCTAGTGTGGGAACACTGGTCACTTCACACCGCCCCCAGTCCCCACACACTCCTCCAAGATCCTCGACCAAAGTGACCTCCTCAGCTGGACCCCATGGTTACCCGTGGCCCCAGCAGCTGCCCCTTCGCTGGGATAGCGGGGTGCCAGCCAGACCTGGCCTCTGGGGCAAAGGGCATATCACACCCCCCACCCCTTCTCAGGCCCTGGGGTGAGAACGTGCTACAGAGGGGGCTGGGGCTCACTCACCTGTGTGTAGGTGTCCGTAATGGAGTAATCTACCAGGACCATGACCAGAATGGAGATAGGGATCCCAAAATCACCGATGACACGGCGAGCCTGGAGGGAGGGAGACCCAGGAGGAAGGGAGCAGGTGGAAGGAGGATTAGGAAGTTAAGGATGCGTACTGCCCAGAACTGACTTGGGCCCAAGTCCCCAGACCTGTCCCTTTGAACCCCCTGGGCACCAACCTACCCACCCCATTTGGGCATTCCTCTTCTGGCTAACCGCTGCGGCTGCAGACAAGGGTGGAGCTGCACAGACAAGGGTGGAGGCTCAGGGAAGAAGGGGGCGGCCCTCCTCTGGAGTGGAGCCTGCCTAGGACCCAAGGGAACCCAGGAGGCACCCCAGACCCCATGCCCAGCAGCCACAAACCTTGCCCCCCAGGAAGCGACTATTCCTGAACTTGCGTAAGAAGAAGGCGATAAGGAAGGTCCCCAGCATTAAGATGAGGGACAGCAGAGCCGTGTTGGGCTGGTTCCTGGGACCCGGAGGCCCCTCTGTGGGAGGCAGGGCACTCCCATTCAGGTCCAGCCCAACTTCCAACATCCCCTCAGGGGGGTAGAATGGCAGCAGTGGGTGCTCCATGAATACCTGTGTGGGTTACAAGGGAGCCCTATTGCTCACCTGGGCAGGTGACCCTGACACTATGACCATCAGGACACCTGTCAGGTAGCGGGCTGGCCTGCCACGTCCCCTCCCGCGGCGCCTAAGTGAGAAATCCTTAGAGCTTGGCACGGTCAAGGTACCGGGCACACGGGAGGAATACGTGGCCCTCCAGGAATAGAAGAATGGCTGATTCTCGAATGGTCACTGTAACTTTTTGATTTGGTTTCTGATTCTGTTGATGCACAACAAAAAAATGCTATGGATACTGTGCTTCGTTTCTAATGATACTCTTGATAGGAATGTAACTTCCTCTGCTCTCGATACTGATTTACTGCTGAGAAACTCCCTTACAATCTTTAATATTATTATACAATTAATTACTGAATACCAGGTGGCTTGTAAAATGAATGGAGAGAGTAATTAAAAGGATTAGAAAGGCATAGGGGATAGATAGGGTATTTGTGTAGCACCACTGAACCCTGAATGGTTTCCTAGGGCCCCAAGTTGGTTTGGGCCCCTGACAACATCTCAGAAACAAAAAGAAATTAACGCATTACCTGTCACGCTTCTATTGAAAAAATCATTGTACCCCTATATTTGCTTGCCAAGAAAAATTACATAAATGCTCTGCACTCTTAAAAATAAGTTACATTCAGATATGCACTCCTAGAAGCCGTGTCTGTCTGTCACTCAACCTCATCCTTGCCCACCCTGTGCCAGAATTGCCATCCCTGAAACTTGTCTCCTGCTCCTGCTGCGCTGGTCCGCGCACTGGCCCTTTGCATTCCTGGCCAGGCAAGAATACAGAAGCTGCTATTAGATGTCACACACACACCTTTCCATAAAAGGTGACCAACTACACACCTGGCCGGCAGTGCTCCCAGCCCCGGCCCCACCAGGTACCCTGCAGGTAAATCCTGGCTCGGACTTGCCTGGCCAGGCCGAACTCCCGTCCTTCAGCTCAGACCTGGCCCAGGGTTCCCCTGACCCCAGGGTCACCCCCGGCACGGCCCCCTCCTGTCACTTCTGTCCCCAATGTTCCACATTGCCCCCCACGCCGCTCTTCTCCCCAGAACCCCCACCTACACCCATCCCCCAGACCTCTCTGGCACTCCACCTTGTAGAGCTTATGGAAGGTCTCGTAGATGAAAATAAGTGAGATGAGGAAAGCAAAGATCTCCTGGGTGAAAGGCGAGATGTAGCGGACCAGGAAGCTGCCTTCCGCGGCCACCAGGGCAAGAACGAAGACCACCAGCCAGAGGCCGACCCACACCCGGCCGGTGAGGTATTCCAGGTCCTGAGCCCGACAGAACTGGAGGCGGAGGGAGCGCTGATTACCCAAGTGCCTGCGCTGGGCTCCGCGGCCCCAAGGGTGGAAGGGGATGGACTCCAAGGAGAAGGGGAAGGCGCCAAGCCATCACTTGGTTGGAGAAGTGGAGGCCGGGGTGGGGCCAGCGGGCGATCCCTAGGGAGGGTGGAGCGGGGCTGTCACCTTGAAGAAAGCTTCTTCGAAGACTAACAGTGGCCCAGAGAAGCCAACCACCAGCAGCGGCTGAGCCCCCAGCAAGGAGAAGAGGACGCCAAGCACAGCCGTGGACACGATCAGCTCAGAAACGCCCATCAGGCCTTCGGTCTTCTCCCCTGGGGCGGGCAGCGGTCAGCGAGATGGCCCTGGCCTGGCTCCTCCCTTCTGGCCCCTCTTCCTTATCTAGCTTAGCCTGATCTGGGAACCCAACAAGCATGAAGCAACCCCAGAGCAATAGCTGGGGCCCCCCAGAACCAGCCCCTCACGAACTCTGGGGTCCTCTGACCCAGCAGCTGGTTAAGGCGGTTACAGCCGGGCTCGGGCCCTCTCACAGTCGGTCCTAAGGGCTGCAGCCTGACCCAGGCTGCTGCTAACACTGGGCTGCCCGCAGCACCCCCACCTCACCTAGCAGCCCCCCAAAGGTGATGGCAGGGCTGAGGGCGGCAAAGTAGATGAAGAGCACGGCCGCCACGCACTGAGAATGGAGGGCGTCCCGCAGGTCGCTGGGGTAGTGTGGGTATCGGCGCTTCACATCCCGGACCAGCCCCCCGAAAACTGAGCCGGTCCGCAGCAGGGGGTCATCTTCTGGGGTCGCCTCCGAGCCACCCAACTCCATAGACAGCTCTGGGGGGGAACAAAGGGTTGCTGGAACACCAACCACCCCCTCGCCCCCAGAGGTCGGGTCACCCACCCTCTCCATCCTGGGCCCCGGTGCAGGGTGCAGAGGCCCGGAGTCAGGACTCAGCGAGTCAGACCGGAGTGGGACATGGAGCTGGGAGCATGTGGGGTGCGTGCGGGGGCCGCTCGGACCTTTCCCGGGGGCCACGTAGCCTCCCTGGGTGGCCATCTCCACTTTGGTCTGCTCGCGCTCCCGCCGCTTCCGAAGCAGCTCGCGCTGGAAGGCGGCCACGGAGCGCAGCAAGTCCCGGCCCTCCACCTCGGATGGCGGAATCACGATGCTGCCGTCCAGGAACTCGCTGATGGCGCTCAGGAGGTCCTGCCGGTCGTCTGCCTGGTAGGCAGCCTCATGGAACAGCTGGGGGAAGGGGAGGCAGGGCTGAGCCGCTGGGAGCCCGGGGACGGGGGCTTCAGGGCGAAGCGGGGTGCAGCCACAGTGGCCCTCCCTGGTGGCGCAGCGGGTTAAAGCACAGCACTGAGAATCTAAAGCCGCTTCCGCATGAGTTCGATTCCCGCCTGCCCCGGAGGTGACCACATGGCGCGGCAGACCTCTCCTGACCCGCCCGCTGCTCCCCTCAGCAGTGTACTTCGTCAATCCGCCTGTTCTGCTCCCCACTCTGTCTCTGGTGAATCCTCTCACCCTCCGCATCTCTGGCCTGTACCCCAGCTCTATATGAATAAATAAATCTTTAAAAAAAAAAAAACCTGATTTTTAAAAAACTAACGTGCGCAGCCCTCCCACTCAAGCCTCAGGTCAGGTCCAAAACGTAAGGCCCCAATTCTTTTCCCCTGACCACTTCCCCTCCCACAGCCCCAGCCCAGGCCTCTCCTTCCTTCTCCCAGCCACGGCGCCCTTCACCCCCACTCCAGGGGCCTGCGCCCTGGCCCCCCAGCCCACCCCACCCCGCCCTGGCAGCCACCACTGTGGGCTGAGAGAGGGACGGGGCGGGGGAGCAGGCCTGGCCAGCCCAGCCTGGGGGCTGCAGGACCCACCTTGTCAGACATGAGGGTGGCGATGGAGCGCCCAAGCTCGTGATAGTCGGTGCTGGTGTGGCTGGGCCCCAGCATGACAAAGAGGAAGCGGACAGGCACAGGGACCTCCAGGACAGACTCCAAGAGCACAGCTTCGTTGAGGCGCACAAAGGCGGCAGCCGGTTGCTCCAGGAAGGGCACGCAGCCTGCGGGAGAGCAAGGCACCGTCCTGGGCAAAGGGGACAGTCGAGGCAGGCGCGGAGGGCGGTCCGGGGCCTCGGGGTCGCTGCCTAGGGGAACCCTAGCCTGAAGAGGCCGTCTGCACTGAGACATTTACCCGGTCGTTAGCAGTTACCAACAGATGGAAGTGAAGGGTCTTGAGGAGGCGACCCTTGTCCTCACCAAGTGCTGCGTGGGCGAGCAGCGGGTAACTGACAACTCAACCAGTCTTTGGGGAAGGAAGCCCTGGGCCGTGAGCAGAGAGGTGGGAGGCCGGGGGCGGGGGGTGAGGGTTCCCGACAAGCAGACCCCCAAGAAGCATCAGGCCCCGGAGCACCTACACTCTTACCCACAAGCACAACAGTCGCCTCGGCATCTTCAGGAATCTTCTCCAGAAGCTTCAGGCTTTTCCCCCGGTGACCGTCTCCCCCAGGCATGTGGAGGGGCTTCTGAGGACGCAGGACTGGAATAGGGCTGGGACCCAGACCGAAGGCCGTGGCGGACCCTCCCGCCCTTCTCCAGCCGCGGACTCTGCCCTCAGCCTCTAGATCTGGGCCAGGTTTCCCGCCTCCCAGCCAGCGTGGAGATTGGCACACCAGTGGGGGGCAGGAATGGGGGAGCTTCCTCCAGGCCCCTCACCAGCACCTGAGGCCCCTTGCGTCGTTTAAGGGTCTGCACTCAACCCACTCAAAGCTCCTACCTCGGGTGCGTGTCCTGCCTACAGACCCTCAGTGTCCAGCGGACGCTCAGTGACCCGCTCGCTGAAACCGTCCGCGGCCTCCACTGAAACTGGAAGCCCGCGCCGTCCCCCAGCCGGGGCAGAGGAGGGTGACTGACCTCCTTGGCGTCGGGGTCATGAGGCCAGAGTGGGGCGGGCTCCCCCAGGTCATCTGTCACGGTGGGCACTGCGCCGTCAGGGCCATGGCCGGAGGGTGGGTGGTGATTCCCCAGGACGGAGTTCACGCTGGAGCTGGATGGGTTCCGGGGAAAGAAGCCGCTGTCCTTGTCATCGTTGGGGTGGCTGTGAGAAGTGCAGAGGGGGCAGGGGGGTGAGAGCGAGAAGCCCCTTGCGACTGAAGACATGAGGAAGCAAGAAATGGAGGCTCAAGGCCTCCATCCCTGCGCTCCCGGTCACTTAAGGTACCCAAGCAGAGGCTGGCCAGCCACTCGAGTCTGTGCTCTCTGGGGAGCAAGTGGGCCAGAAGCCCCACCCGGCCCCACCCTGGCACCTGTGTTTCAGCAGCAGGGTGCGCAGGACGCTGGCCCTGTCCTCTGGCCGGATCTGGTCGGACACAATCATGGTCTCCACCACGAGATGTGCAATGCCCGGCAGCGTGGTCTGTTCCAGGTCCAGGAGGGCAGCGCCTGGGACACCGTTAAGGCAGGGCACAGGGTGCCGTCAGCTAGAAGAAACACCCCCCACGGCCCCGCTCCCCAAAGGTGCTGGGTGAGCACAGCCCCCGATGCACCCAGGCAACATACTGTTCCATGTGACCCAGCCCAGGCAGAGAGCCCACGGCTGCAGGGCAGGGGGCCTCGTGTCCCCAAGCGGCACCATGTAGCCTGGGCCCAGGACACGGGGGGTGGGGGAGATGCCCAAGGGCTGGGCCGCCTGGCGCCAGGGAGCCCCGCAGCTGTGAGGAGGGCATGCAGCAGGCCAGGCCCCAGGGCCCCTACCGTGGGCGATGGTCCGCCTGAGCTCCAGGAGGCTGCGGAAGGAGAGCGAGGCCACGTGGGGCTTCCCCCAGCGCTCAGTCTCTTCCTCCACGTCCTCCTCAAACTTGATCCAGCGCGCCGTCTCCCGCCAGTGGGGCTCCTGGCTGCGGTCCAGCATCAGCTCGTTCAGCTCCACAAACACCTGGGATGGGTGCCAGAGGTGAACCTGGGGCCCACCAGGTGGAACCGGCCCTCTGGGAATGGGGCAGCAGGCCAGGTCGGGAGGAGAGGCCAGAGGAAGCTGTCGGCCCTCCCCGGGGGGCCCCGTACCTCGTGAGGCCTCCGGTCCATCTTCTTCTTCTTCTTCTTCCTGCGCAGGATGGGGGCCAGGCCACTAGGGCTGCCCCTCCCTGCCTGCGTCCGAGACGGCTTCTTCACCAGATGCCGCCGCATGCCTGGGTTGTCCTCCAGCCGGTGACCTGGGAGCAAGTGGGCTTGACAGTCACAGGCATCCAGCTTGGGGCCTTGAGGCCACAGCCAGCCCCTCCAGCCCCCCAGGCAGCCTACTTGAAGGGCGCTATTCCAACAGACTCTGTGGTCCATTGAGGCCATTACACAGTAAGGAGACTGAGGCCCAGAGAGAGGGAATGACCAGCCAAGAGGTCAGAAGGCTACTGGCCAAGCCCCAGTAAGAAGGCAGACACCAGTGAGGCCCATAGCCCCGGCCGGCACCCCACCCTGTCACGACCACTGTCCCTCACTCCTGATGACTGTAGCTAACATCAAGTTGCCAGGCCCCGAGCCTCCGGCACCTTCCCTGTGCCCCCCCGGTACACAGGGGCAGAGCTCTCCCTTCCTCCCCGCCTGCCTCTTCCAGGCCAGCAGCTGAGAAAGGCCAGCTGCCCGGTTACTCACAAGCTGGTCCCCCCACCACAGGGCTCAGCCAGCCCCTGGCGGGCTCCCCTGGAACACAGTCCTCAAGGTCCAGCACAAACATCTCTAAGTCTTCTGAGACCAGCAAGTCACCAGGGCTGGGGGCTGGAGTCCTCCCAGGACTCTGGGCCTCAGAATCCTCCAGCCCAGGGCTCAGCACCCCACTGGGCTTGGTGACCTCCGGCCAGCTCATCATTGTCCCAGCAGTGGAAGGCCGGGGGCCGAGGTCTCAGTCCTGCTCCCTCCCAGAGCCCCAGCTCCTGGGAGAACCGGGAGCCTGGACAGCACTGGTCTTGGCCCACGCAGCACGGCCTCAGACTCCCCGTGTCCCCAGGCCTGCTCCCATGGCTTCCAGCCCCCACTCTGGGTCTGTAAATATGCCCTTCTCCTGACCCCCCATCCCGCCACCACCTCCGCTGCCCTGCCATCGGATTGTTCCTGTCCCTGTCCTCAGGGCCTGGCAACTTTCCATGACGTACTGAGCTCAAAGCCTACCCCCCCCCCACCCAGCCACACAGTAGGGGGAGGAGGGCGGGGTCAGAGATGCCCCTGGCCTGGGCACAGAGCCCCGGGGGTGATGACAGGTGGCAGGGCAGAAACCAGGGCACTGATAAGACGGGAGGAATGTGCCGAGGTCACAGCCAGGCCCAGCCCAGGGTGGCGGGTCAGGAGCGAGGGCCCCTGACACACAGGGAAGAAGCTCTGACGGAGGGGCCCCATTGGCAGGGCATGCACAGAGCCAGGGGTTGAAGTGTGTGACCCGAACTCCCCAAATGGCATTTCCCAAGGCAGAGGTGTCGCGAAGGGAGGCTCAGCTGGGTGAGGCAGGGCGCTCCTGTCACTGGCCACATGTGGCGGGGACTGGGCAGGGCCTGTCCAAGGCCTGGGGCTGGGGCACAGCCGGGCGCCCCCGGACTCACTCACTCTTCATGTCGTCCAGGTCTGCGGAGCCCAGCATCTGTGCTTCCGCCTCGTCAGTGGGCACCTGCTGCTCCGGGCCCCCAGGGCTGCCCAGGGCGCTGCCCGGGCACAGCCGCTCCCGAAGGTCATAGCTGGCCGATGGGCTCCAGGGCCGGCCCTTGTCCCCGGTGAGACGCAAGGTCCGGGCGCGGGGGCTGGGGGAGCTGGGGAGGGGACGTGGCGCTTTGGACTTGTCAGGCAGGCACGGTGGGGGTGGCCCTGGTTAGGGGTGCCTTTGCTGGGTGTGGAGTCCACGCCTGGCACCAGGCACAGGCCCCTGGGGCAGGAAGGACGCTCACCTCCGCCGCCCTGCCCCCACCACACTGCCCCCCCCCCCCACCCTCCACCCCTCCCCCCCACCCCCCCCCCCCCCCCTCCCCCCCCCCCCCTGCCCCCCCCCCCCCCGCCTTATGCCACCCTCCTCTTCACCCCGACACCTCCTCTCCCCTGGAGGACTCCAGTGTGCTGCTCTTTCCCCTCATCTCCCTGGCTGGTCTCTCCTTGTCAATCACGAGGACAGAGACAGGGTGCGCCCTCTGCGCCCTCTCCTCCTCTCTAGGGTCAGAGCTGGGGACACACCTCCGCTCCCACAGTGGGGCCGGTACCTGACTGAGTGCTGGGGACTCTTGTCGGCCCGGGGCCCCCCGGGGGGCGGGGGCCTGGTGCACGCAGCCCTCCTGGAGAGGCGGGGGCTGTCATCCTCGTCACTGCCAATGGAGAACTGTGGACAAACCAAACGTCTCCTGGGCCCTTGCCTGGACTCGGCCCCCAAACTAGTCCGTCAGTCTCCTCCAGGCACGCTTCTCTCCTCCTGCACCCCTCCCCGGGCAGCCAGCCCTTCTTGGGGCAGACCCCCACCTTCGCCTTTGGTGGGGACGCTGAGGGTGGGGGCTCGGCGGGCTCTGCCTCGGATTCTCCTTCCTCTTCCTCTTCCTCCTCCTCCTCCTCCTCCACGGCTCCCCCTTCCTCCTGGATGGGAGGGGTCCCCTCAGAGGGGGGTGCAGAGGTTTTCTCCTTCCTCTTCCTCCTGGCTTGCCGGGCAGAGGTGGGGGGCAGGCGACGCAGCTTGTGGGGTGGAGGCAGGCGTGCGGAGAGCGGGTGGTGGGTGTGGTGGGATGTGTGCCGGTGAACTGGGGGTGCAGAAGAGCTGGTTGGGGCCCCCAGAGAAGGGGGCCCACGCCACTCCCCAGGAACGCACACCTTATTCTAGCTCAAGCCCTCAAACAGAGTACCCTAGTCCTTCCTCTAGCTCCAGGCTCCCCCCAACACCTGGTAGAGGAGTAATGGAGAAGGGAGATCATGAAGTGGGGTGAGGAGACAGGACACAGCCAGGAAGGGAGAGGTGGAGTCCCAACAGCTAAGGAGGGAGCTGAGAAGAGCCCAGGGCAGAGCTGTGGCCCAGCCTTGGGAAGGGGAAGAACAGCCGAGGTCCAGCTTCCTACACCTCCCCTGCACCTGGGGCCCCGCTCCCTGGCAGGTGGACAGGCGATGGGTGAGTGAGGCAGGATGACTTAACACGGCATGGTGGCCCAGCACAGCTTCCCGCACAGCATCCAGCACAAGATGGCACTGGGTGCCCACGGCAGTGGTGAGCACAGTGATGGTGGCAATGAAGGTGATGGTGGTGAGGGCGGCCGCACTCGGGGGCCCAGGCTACCCACACTCAAAGTCCCGCTCGCTGTAGCTGCGGCTGGGCTTCTCGGGGTCCCAGGCCGGGGGCTTGCTGATGAGGTCCCCAAACCTGCTCACAGCCAAGGTCTTGCCCAAGTCATCGTCCTCCTCCTCCATGTCTGGGCTCAGAGGGGGCTCCTCCAAGGGCAGCCGGACCTGCAGGCTCAGACAGCCTCTCCTCAGGACCCTTGACCCCTGACGGCCCCACACCCACCCCCACTCTAAGTCCTAGGTGGGGGGGGGCCGACCAGCAGGCTCCTCTTCAACAGCCCCTTCTCCCTGGCCCGGGCTTGGGTCAGCATCCCAGGCTTCCAGGGCTTGGGAGGAGAGGGGCAACAGATCTGAAAAATACCAAAAGATCCTCTCTTTCTCCATACCCCCGGCCCAGCGCCAACTGGATCTGGGAATCCCAGGGTCGGCCAGAGGACACCCCTCTTCTCCTCGGGGTCCCTCCCCCTCTGCCCCCCACCTCCATGCGTCAGTCACCTGGGGTAGGGGGGAGGCGCCCCCGGGCGGCGGGATCACACCGTTGGCCATGGCTGGGGAGGCGGCGGGCGAGGCGGCGGAGGCTGCTCACCGCGGGGCCCGTGACCCGGGAGAGAAGAAGGGGGCGCTGCTGCGGGAGCCAAGTGGGGACCCCTGGGGGAGGAAGGAAGGCGGGGTCAGGATCGTCGCGCGGCCGCCCCCTCCTCCTCCACAGGGCAGATCCCCC